GACTTGATTTTTTGAATAGGAAACAAGGTTGCAAAATACGTTAGGTGCCCGCTAGGCGCCGATTTTGTTTTTTTTTGTTTTTTTTTTTTTTTTAAGTAACTAAAATTTATAAAAATTCATTAATAAAACATAAGGTTTTTCTAATTTTTTCTTACAAACTATTTACATAAGTAGTTGTAAAATGGTTCAAAATATTGTTGAAACCATCTAAATACATTAAAAAAAATTAAAAAATTAAAAAATTAAAAAAAAAAAAAACTAAAATTAAAAGCAAAAGAAGCATTTTTTTGAGAAATTGGAGGAGCAACCGAGTCAAAAGTTATGCCTTGCCGAACTTTTGACACCTTATAACTAAAAAAAAAAAATCGCCGGTTCAGCCGCCTAGGCGCGATTTTTACAACACTGATACAAAATGAGAGGTAGACGTTGGTGAGTATAGAGGGGAAAAGTGGCGTGAAAGGTGAGGGAGAAAGAATGGGAGATCTAGGTTTTAGTCTAGCTAGGAAGGTGTAGATATATCGCAAATTATGCCGTGGAAACGTGTTCACCATGCTAGGTGAACACGGTCCCAAACGGCATTGTTTTTATCGAAAAAAAATTAGTTAATGTGCTGTTAACAGCGTTTTGCATTCTATGTTCAAATTATGAATTTACATTTATTAAATTATGAATTTTCTGTTATGAATTATGAATTTACAGTTATATAATTATGAATTTTCTGTACATTCATAATCTCATAACAGAAAATTCATAATCTCATAACAGAAAATTCATAATCTCATAAAAGAAAATTCATAATTTCATAACTGCACATTCATTAATCCATGCCTGCACATTCATAATTTATGAGTGTTGAAGAAACTTACGCGGAGAGAAAGTGAAACCGCAAAATGTGAATATGAAGAAGAAAAGTCGCGTCGTTAATTTTTTTTTTTTAAAAAAAAAAAAGAAGAAGAAGAAGATTGGTGGAAGATAACGGTGCCCGTAGGCACCGTTGCCGTTTGAGACCGCATAGAACACAGTTCCATGGCATAACGATTGAGCATTATATGGCCAAGCCAAATAGTTTTATTATTTTATGTAAGCATATAAATCACGTAGGAACTTAAATACGTGACAGGATCTTTATTTAAGTACTAAGTACTAACCTCCAGCCATAGCTTCCGATTGATGAAGGTTGTATAGACACGGGACTGCTGCGGCAGAGTAACAGTATATGTTTCTCTCACTTTCTCAACCCTCTCTGGATGGTGTATGAGGAATGAATGTTAAGCAATGAGAGGACTACTAAGGGCTCTTTATATAATAACCATATGCCATCAATATGGTAACTGAATCCCTTCCTAATCACACTCCTTATCTTTTACAATCAATCATTACCTTAATTGATAGGAGTATGTATGGAAGAATTGCACCACATAACACATTGGCCCTGTTTGGTAAAAAATTGGCCTATAGGCCAATTTTAGATTATTTGATCGCTATTAATTGTTTGATTTAGTTAAAATATCAATATAAATGTTTGGTTAATTAGCTTTTTGCAACTCCAAAAGGCTAAAATTAAAAAAGCTACTCCTAGCAACTTTTTCAATTAGCTTTTTGAGAAAAGAAATTATACCAAACAGCTATCAGCAAACAGCTAATTTACCAAACACTTTTCTACAATCAGCTAATGTTATCAACTATTTATACTCTCTAATTAACACAATCAGCTAACAGCAAACAGCTATCAGCTAACAGTCATTTTACCAAACAGGGCCATTACCTTAATATTATAAAGTTGACTTAATATTATAATAATGTAATTAGGAAAATGTTACATTCTCCCACTTGGTGCAAATTCCATAACCCAAAAAACAGAAAAACACCGACCATAGTGATATGTCCTCCTTAAATCGAGTAGCATCCATTATGATCAAATGTAAACTGCCCTTGAGCACTTAATTTAGGAAATAAAAACTTAATGAAACAAACCCTACGTTTATTTCAAGTCCAACTGAAGTACATTATCTCAACAAAATAAAGGTGTACACACTTAAAGAGATTAATGTCAAAATGCAGAAGAATTTCATTAAAACTGAATACTGAATGTATATATACAAATTACAAAGTGGGCGAAAGTCTCATTTTCTTAACAAGATCCTTGAATTTAACTGAAGGCATGCATTTAGTCAAGGGATCTGCTAACATCAACTCAGTAGTAATGGCTAAGAACTTGATGTCGAGGTGCTCAATTCGACTCCCACTTTTTTTTTCTTAGCCAGGAAGACTGTAGATGAGTTGTCACAATAGACTTTCAGTGGCTTAGATATAGAGTCCATACCTCTAAGCCCAAAGATGAAATTCTTGAGCCACAGACCTTATGAAGTGGCCTCGTAACAGGAAACGAACTCGGCTTCCATGGTAGAAGTAGTTATTAAAGACTGTTTAACACTTCTCCATGAGATAGCCCCACCGGCCATAATAAAAAATGTACCCTAAAGTTGATCTTCAAGAATTAACATAACCAGCGAAGTCCGTATCAGAATAACCGACAACATCTAAATGTCCGTCTGCCTAAACCCAAGCACGTGACTCTTAGTTCCTTTTAGATACCTCAAAACTCTCTTCAAGAGAAATTGTTTCACATAAGAAACATCTCATTGTTATTGATGGCAAGCAAAATGTCATCCACATATAAAACAAGAAAGCATATTTTACTCCCACTCACCTTCCGGTATATACAATGGTCAAGAGGATTTTCAACAAAACCAAATGAAGAAATAACCCCATCGAACTTGATATACCATTGATGGGAAGCTTGTTTTAGACCGTATATGGATTCTTAAGCTTACAAACTAAATTCTCACCACCCCTAGAAGAGAAACCTATAAACTTCTTCTTCTAAATCACCATTAGGAAACACAGTTTTCACATCTATTTGTTGTAACTCAAAATGTGCAACTAATTCTAAAATGACTCGAAGTGAATCTTTCGTTAATACAAGGGAGAACGTTTCCTTGTAATCGATTCCTTTCTTTTGAGTAAATCCCTTCACAGCAAGTCGGGCCTTGTATCTATCAATATTGCCTAATGAATCTCTTTTGGTTTTAAAAACCAATTTACTGACCATAAGGCAATTCAACAAGTTCCCGAACCCTATTGCACTTCATGGAATTTATTTCATGGCTTTATACCATAAGTCGGATTGGGCTCATTTAGTGGCTTGAGAAAACATCTTAGGATCATTTTCGACTCCAATGTCAGATTCTTGTAGATACGAAACGTAATAACTAGGTACTGTTGATCTTTTCAACCGAGTTGACCGTCTTAATGTTGAACCTCCATCACCTTGCAAAGGTTGTGGGGCAACTACCTCTTCAAGAACTGGGGCAGTCCTTGGATTGGTTCAGTTTGTATCGGTTCAGAATTTTGTAAATCCTGAATTGGTTCAACCATAAGTTTAGAATCTAGTTCAGGAAATTGCTATAAGTCCTGAAGTGATTCTTCCAAAGGTTGAGTCTCAACAGTTTGTGGAATCTTAACAGTAGGTTGTATAATCGCAAGTGGGACCGAAGGAACATTGCGTATAATTACAACCCCATTAGATGACGTAGAAGGTTGAGAGCCATTATGATCGAATGAAGGAACTAAGTCCTTTAATCAATCTCTCCCACTGATCAAGTCATCTTCAAGAAACTTAGCGTCCCTTGATTCCAGTATCCTAGTAGTATGAGATGGACAATAAAACCTATAACCCTTAGAAGATTGTGCATATCCAATAAAGAAAGCACTAATAGTCCTTGGGTCAAGCTTCTTTTCGTGCGGGTTATATATCCTCCCCTCAGACGGACATCCCTAAATACGCATATGTTGCAAACTCGGTTTCCAACCTTTGAAGAACTCAAATGGTATCTTAAGGACAACCTTGGTTGGAAAACGGTTTAATATATACATTTCCGCCTTAAGTGTTTCACCCCACAACGATTTTGGAAGGCAAGATTTACTTTGCATACTCCACACCATATTCAAAGGGTCCAGTTCCTTCATCCAGCAACACAGTTTTAGTCCGAAGACCCAGGCATGGTGTATTGGGAAATAATCCCATGCTCTTGAAGAAACTTTACAAAGGGACCTGGTGTTTGTCCATTTTCAGTGTATCTACCATAGTATTCACCACCCACATCAGATCTAACTATGTGTATTTTCTTGTTACATTGGATTTAACTTCAGCCTTAAATAATTTAAAGGCATCCAATGTTTCATGCTTATTATAGAAGAAAATAAACATATATAGATCTTGATAAATCATTAATGATGGTGATGAAATATTTGTGAATGAATTTTCGTTAATACTACATCGTTTGGTTCCGTTTTGAACATGTAAAGAATTATGATTTAAATCATTCTTTAAGTTAAGACGATAGAGACCATCAGACAATGTACCATCACAAACACAAGTAGAATTATTGAATAATTTGAAATACTTGTGATTAAATTCGAATGTAAATCCAAAAGGGTACAAGTCTTGAAACTGAAATTAAATTCCTTGAAAACTAGGAACATAAAAGGTCTCACCTAATGTCAAAACAAAACATTATTCAAAAAAAACTAAGTCGCAAATTTCAACAGCTTCAACTAGTGATGCAATCTTGTTTCCAGATAAGATGCTTCAGTCAGTTCCCGTCGGCTGCCTTAGATTCTGCATGTTCTGCAAAGAATTTGCAATGTGGATTGGTGAACCAGAATCAATCCATCAAGAATTAGTATTAACATCTGACATATTAGATTAAGAATATATAAAGAAGGAGGAAATATTACCCTTATCAGACATCCACTTCTTGAATTTGGTACAATCTTTCTTCATGTGTCTTTTCTTTTTACAGAAGAAACACTTTTGTACCTTCTTAATATCAGCTTTTGGGGTCAATTTTCCCTTTGCTTTTGCAGTGAATCCCTTGGGGTTCCCAGATTTTCCTTTAGGGTTTGTTGTGGCCAACATTGCGCTCTCCCCAACCTCTTCAATAAGCCTCTGTTCCTCTTGTGCACATGGTTATCAAGTCATTGATAGACCATTTGTCCTTATGTGTGTTATAGAAGATCTTAAAAGGGCTATAGTGTTGAGGGAGGCTGTTAAGTGCAAAGTGCACAACAAAGGTATCTGGCAAAATTATGTCCAACTTATTCAGTTGAGCCGCAATATCCCTTACTTGCATGATGTGTTTGCGCGTGCCCTTAATAGTGGAAAGACGAAGACCAACAAACTTCATGATTAGAGTACTTGCCAAAGCTTTATTGGATGTAGAAAATTGGTCATCAATAGCTTTGAACAAGGGTTCGACTTTATCACAATGGTCAATTGACCCACGAATGCTTCTTGGGATTCGTGTCTTAATGAAATACACACACAACCGATTAGATCTAATCCATTGTGAATGAAATTTCTTGTCAGCCTCAGAGCTATCATTAGTGATAGGAGCAGGCTCTTTATTGTGAATAGCAAAATCCATCTCTAACAACCCTAAGTGTAGGAGAACAACGTCTTTCCACTCTTGGTGATTATCATCGCTTAGCATAGGAACATCAATCATTATTATCTTTTGAGTTGAGATTTGAGGTTCTGTAAAGTATAATAAAAGCTTGGTTAGATTTTTCCGAGGCACATAGATAGAGAAAGACTGAAGTGAATATTATTACCAATGTAAGTTATGCAAGAGATAGACTTGAATGCCATAAAAATTGCCTGTGGGCTAAATTTTTACGCAAAATAAATCTATCAAGGCTGAATAGTGGAAACGGAATGGGTACGGATTTTGATTTGGTTTTTCCACCCTTAATGATAAAACTACCAAACTATATGCCGATTCATAATCCCTGTGGGCAAATTATGATCATAGTTTAGTATTTAATCCTAATTCATCCTACAAATACAACAAAATTGTCTGTGGGCTAAATCTTGCAATATTACGTAGAATGAATTACAAAGGTATTGCCTATTCTCAATGTGATTTAAACTAAAAAGACAATTTAGGCAATTAAAGATGATGTGGCTACTCTTTAATTACAAAAATTGTAATCACTTGGCAAAACGAGAATTTAAAGCCTAGCAAACATATTAAACCAACACATGATAGACAATCATTAGGTATACTCCCAGGAAAGTTGGTCGAGATAAACTCGGTTAAATACCAACTCCTTAGACAGAGTAGCGTCGCAAGGTGACTAGTAGCAACAAGGCTTTTAAGCCAGGGCCATAGAACTAGTATTCCTCCCCAAGAAACTTCCCTAAGTCATGTGTTCTCATGTTTGAAGTAAAATTGTTTGTGAGATCTATAAGATTGGATACACCTATGGATAAGGCTTTAAATAGGGTAAACTATAATTTTTATGTACTTTATGTGCTTTAAGAACTTTAAGCACGAATGGAGTAATAATTGATGAGTAAATAATGATATGCGCAATCTATTCTTAAAAGGCACTAATTCACCTAAAAGGTACTAAATCATGCTTAAAAGGCATTTAAATCATACCTAAAAGGCTCTAAATTAGTCCTTAAAAGAGCATGCATTTCTAAAGACATAATTATAACAATAAAATAATTATGGCAATAAACATATAAGGCATGCTTAGATTATGCATATCAATTACTCATACTCCATAAATACATTGTAACACTTAATACAATTTAAAACTGAAAATTCAATATTAAATTAATATTCAAACAAATTTAACACTTAATAATTTGTTCAAAAAATGAATGATAATTTAATATTGACTTTAGGCAAAATCAATTGGATAATTTTAATAAGAAGAAGTCTAAATATGATGAACAAATAATACTTAAGCAAGCCCAAACCAAATAGGCTTTTTTTTTTTTTTAAATCCAGGTCTGCCCAAATTAGGCCAGACCCAGCCAAATTTCTTCATCATCTTCTTCTTTCTTTATCTGGCCGAACCACCAGGAAGACAGCAAGAAAAAAAAATAAAAATCCAACCATTTTTATTTGTATTTATATTTAATCTTCCGTAAAATAGCCTTTATCCAATTGATTTAAACATAAAATAAAAGATACTTAATGCGGAAAAAAAATTTCAGCAGTCCAAACAATTGCATAATTATTCAAGTAAGAATATATAACATATGCAATCAAAAACCACTTAAGCTAGGCAGAGATTATACAGGCAACTGATACCAATTGTAAGCATATAAATCACGTAGGAACTTAAATACGTGACAGGATCTTTATTTAAGTACTAAGTACTAACCTCCAGCCATAGCTTCCGATTGATGAAGGTTGTATAGACACGGGACTGCTGCGGCATACCCTCTCTGGATGGTGTATGAGGAATGAATGTTAAGCAGTGAGAGGACTATTAAGGGCTCTTTATATAAGAACCATATGCCATCAATATGGTAACTGAATCCCTTCCTAATCACACTCCTTATCTTTTACAATCAATCATTACCTTAATTGATAGGAGTATGTATGGAAGAATTGCACCACATAACATATTACCTTAATTATTATAAAGTTGATTTAATATTATAATAATGTAATTAGGAAAATGTTACATTTTACACATTCTCTTGAAAATCATTAATGGAGGTTTGTCTTGATGAAGTAGATGAAAAAAAAAAAAAAAAAAAAAACGGAAGAGAATTAGAATTACACCTTGTTTTTTAGAGTCTAACCAGATAGTAGTTATTTTAGGATACCTCCCTTTATCTTTTTATCCAATATTCCAACACCAAACTAGTCAAAATTGAGTAACAGATTAATTATTAGTTAGCCTATCAATCGATTTTGACTTATTTGGCCACTATCAAGACTTGGTTAAACCGTCAATATAATTGTTTAATTAATTAATTTTTTTTAACAACTTATTGCACTAAAATGCTAAAAATTTACAGTTTCTTCGATCAATTGTTTGAGAAAGTCATTTTACATTTATTCAGCTAACAACTAATTTACCAAGCATCTTTAAAAATCAGCTAATCAAACCCAATCAGCTAACAATTAATGTACCAAACATCTTAACATTAATGTTCTTTATAAATTAAACTCAAAAGCTCTCATAGTCTCATTTACAGGGCGTTTGGTTGGAAGTAAGGAATTAGGGTGGAAAGGAATTGCAATTCGGTGGGAAAAGCATAAGATAGGAATAAAGTAGGAATTCAAATTACATTGTTTGGTAGGGATGAATAGAATTATTGAGTAGGAAATGAAAGAAGTGATATAAAGACTAAAATGCCCTTGTGTAATAATAATAGTAGTAATAATTAAGGGTACTTCTGCCATTTCATCCCTTTTTCCTTTTCCCACAACCACCGAATTGCAATTCATAGGGGGGTGCCCATGGATTGCAATTCAGCAAAAGGAGGGAATTGCAATTCTTCCAACCAAACAGTGTAATTGTGACTTCTACTGAATTGCAATTCAACTACCGCCAAATTACGCCCAACCAAACAGACCATTAGTAACAATGTATCCAAAACAGCTAAACTATTAAAATTACTTATGTAAATAGATAGACTAATCATGGAGTTAACGGATTTAATGAAAGGACCAAAATTATTTTAAAGAGAATTGTACAAATAAATATATCACATAGTCAATAATTATAAAAAGAACTGTACAAATCAGTATATCAAATAGTCAATTATTCTATAGATCATGAATCATAAAATTATACAAACTGCAGAAGGAAAAAGTCTCGTTCAAATTCACAAGATAGCTGTTCAACCAACAGATAAAAGCTTACGAAATGATTCAAAGAATACAAGCCTGCAGATAGCTCTTATTCAGAACATGAGATTTGTCGAACTAGAAGTATTACCCGTCCCTATTACAGAGGATAAGATATGCGAAAGACTCACGCAGAAAGCTTAAATAAAGATAAATAGGTTGACATCCATATCAGAAAATGATGTCCTCGTCTTTCTGTGAACCAGATAGCAAGTTATGTGCTGCGCCAAGTGAAATACCTTTCCTCAAAGAAATTTCTTCAGCAACCTTCTCGTCTGCAAATAGTTTAGCAGCTGCCTTCTGTTTCTCTATCTCTCTCTTCTTGTAGCCTTGGATCTTCTTCAGCCTAAAGAAGTCCTCTCGCTCCAACTCATCCAGTTCTCCCTTGATGTAGGTTATTGTGTTCTCTAGCCTTGGTTTCACCACGTTCTCAAGTGCATTGACCCTGCGGTTTGTGGTCTTGATAGCCTCGTCAAGAGTGAGAAATGATGTTTGCAGGGAAGCAAGCTCAACAAGGAGCTCGATTGCTTTCACATAGGCAGCACGGCATGCTTGTACCTGTTGCCCACCTCTAGCTAATCCAGTCAAGTCATTCTTTGTCTCTCCTTCAGAGAAATAATCAAACTTGGGGAGCTTAACACCAGCAATATTTTCTTGGCGTGATCGAACTTTAAGTGTTGCGCTCTGAACATTTTCAAGCACAATATGCTTAATGTTCTCACCAGCACAATACTTGACCTCTGTCAGAGCAAAGGAGGAACTTTTCATGACCTCTCCCATCGATTCTTTTGTTGACACAATTTTCTTGAGAATCTGTCTGAACTGCACGGTGAGAGCATCACTTTTCTTCTTAAGCAAAGCATGGCCTCTTGTGGCACCAACAAGGCGAGCTTTCACGACACCAAGCATTGTGACAGTAGGAACCACATTTAAGCGTTGGTTTTGCCCAGCCATTTCTGCCATAGAAATAAAACAGTAGTGTCCATCTAATTCTTTTTCTTTTCTTTTCCATTCATCAAACAGGTGACCACTACTACTACTTTAAATACCTAAAGTTGTCCCCAACAATTTCATAAAATGCTGGAAAATTTTGTTCATATTTCAAAGACAATATAAAGGCTCCATGTTACTACTAGAATTCTGATATGCTGTATTACAAATAAGTCACTACAAAAATTGGAAAACACATAAAATATGAAAAAAAAAAAAAAAGCATCTTGGAACAGTCCCCTTTCTTCACAACATATTACTCCATTCTGACATTACCAATTAAATTTTATCTTGCCATTTTGACCTAGGCAAAATCAGGTCTTTCCCATATCAATGCAAGCAACTTTTTCATTTCCTTTTCATGAATGATTTTAAACTATGATTCTTACATAGAATTGACAGATCAAACTTAACCTTAAGAAAAACCAATGCAATTAGCCATATTACAACTCAACCAAACTAAATATTCCAATCTTGCTGAGGTTACCTATGTTGATTCAAATTCATTATTTCAGTTTCTTCACTGCTAACCAATGTGTAAACCCTTAGAAAAGCACTCTGTTCCTAACATCTGACCAAGTTACAACAATCTATGCCATTGATATCACAATCAAGCATCAAGCACACACTATCATTCTGGATTTCAGGTAGCTAAGTTTCTTGACAGAGAAATACACACTACAAATGTTGATCCCCAAAAAGGCTGCTAAATGAAAATGCTGGCATCAATTGTTCACTCCCAATACTTCCATCACATATCATCACATATTGAATACTTAGAATCATAAAGATGTATTGCGTTGTCAAACAAAAAATTAGTAAACTTAGCAATTCAAACCCCAAACCACCACCTCCACCCTCCTCAGGCCTCCCCAAGAGGAAAAAAAAAACAAACAAACAAACAAACAAAAATTAAGAAAATAAAAACAAAGAAAATTCTCATTGAATTAGGTTATTAAGCATAAAAAATTATCTTAAAATTGAATAACCTAAAATAAAAATAAATAAGTAAACAAGGATTCTAGTCTCCGATTCAACGATTAACAGAAACTTTGAGATCTGTATATGCGGATTAAGCTAAACCGGGAGCAGCCGTACCTTAAGGTGAATAGGAATATATGTGGGAAATACGATTGCCGTCAGAGGGCCGCCGGAGAATGATGATCGCGCCCGAGATCCGACCGCGGGAGTGATTATTCAATAAAATTTAGCGAGAACTGAAAGTTTAATCTCTACAACAAACTTAAAATTGAGGGATTATGAACGTGAAGCTTTAGAGTTCTAAGAGAGAGTCGCGATCGATCCACGGATCCGATCTGCCAGCATTATTGCTCAGTGTGTGTACGTTCGTTTTCCTTAATGGGCTGGATTCCTAAAGCTTCAGCTTCAGCAGTGAAAAAAGGCTAGATCAGATTTCTTATTGGGCTAAATTGGAGACCATTTTGACCCAAAATATTATTAGACCATTTTTTATTTAAATTTAAGGATTGCATATTTGTGCAAATTTTCTGTGGACCATGATACACACACCTGATCATCGCAAATTAAGCTGTGGAAACGTGTTCAGCATGCTTGGTGAACACGGTCCCAAACGGTATCGTTTTTATCGAAAAAATAATAAATTTAGTTAATGTGCTGTTAACGGCGTTTTGCATTAGATTATGAATTTATATTTATTAAATTATGAATTTTCTGTTATGAGATTATGAATTTACAGTTATGTAATTATGAATTTTCTATACATTCATAATCTCATAATAGAAAATTCATAATCTCATAACAGAAAATTCATAATCTCATAGCAGAAAATTCATAATCTCATAAAAGAAAAATATTTATTAAATTATGAATTTTCTGTTATGCGATTATGAATTTACAGTTATGTAATTATGAATTTTCTGTACATTCATAATCTCATAACAGAAAATTCATAATCTCATAACAGAAAATTCATAATTTCATAACAGAAAATTCATAATCTCATAAAAAAAAATTCATAAATTCATAACTGCACATTCATAAATACATGCCTGCACATTCATAATTTATGAATGTTGAATAAACTTGCACGAAGAAGAAGTGAAACCGCAAAATGTGAATATGAAGAAGAAAAGTCGCGCTGTTAATTTTTAAAAAAAAAAAAAGAAAAAAAAAAAGAAAAGAAAGATTGGTGGAGATAACGGTGCCCATAGGCACCGTTACCGTTTGGGACCGTGTTCACCATGGATGGTGAACACGGTTCCACGGCATAATGATTGCCTAATCATGAATACAAGGTACATTTTTAATATATTAAAATATTTTATTTATATACTGAATACATTACTCTTTCTTTCTCGTTTTATCTGTCTTACTTACTATTCATTGGTCAAACCAACTCTCTCTTCTTTGTTTATTTTCTTTAGTATTTTTTATTTATTTTAATTTTTTTTAATAGTACTTTTAGTGTAGTTTCTAAATATATAAATTTTGTATAGTAATACTAAACTTAATATTATGAAAAATTGGATTAAAAATAACTTCAATCAAGCCTCGTTAACCGAGCCAGACACATAAAATGGGACAGAGGGTGTATTTGATAGTATATAAAATAATGAGGAGGAATTGTATTACACTATTTTACAACATTACGCAAACCTAAGTATTGTTATTTATAATTTGCATATTCGCAAGTATTATGGGGAGGGTTCGATTTGTGTTTTTTTATACGAATTGGAGTAGTGACAGAATAATATTGTTGAATAGGAATAGGAATAGGAATTTTAATATTGTTGTATTGTATTACGAATATGAATTTTAATGTAGAATTATAGTACGAGTAGGAAAGTAGGAAACAATATATTCTATTAAGAATTGTATTACACTATTTTACAATATTAGAATCGAAATTTCGATGTAGAATTGTAGTACGAATAGGAGAGTAGGAAACAATATATTCTAATTGTATGACACTATTTTACAATATTACACAAACTTTAATAGTATATGTCTATTTTGAGCGGGAAGTTAAAATGGAGATTTTATTTTTATTAATAGTATAGATGGATAGATTTACCCTTTAATTAAGTATTTATGTGCTATGATTTGAGGGTGTTACAAAAATTATACTAATAAACATGTTTCTTGTTTTATGTTCTAACTGAAAAAATAATAATAATAAATCAGTTAGCAAACGGGACCTACATTTTCTTTAATTTCCTAACTGAAGGTAGTGTTTTACGATTTTTTTTCCCTTATTGAAAATTTGTTTACAAATCTAGATGAATAAAAAATAAATTCCATTTAGTTATTCGCAGATTAAATGTCAGTGTTTGACAAATTTGGACGGATTTTCTCCGGATTAGTAGTCGAAGTGAATAAAAATAGTAAAAAAAAACTTATAGCTATATACCAAAAGTGTCACGAGTATTAAGAGTTGTGAAACAAAAAGTGGAAAAAAAAAATTCTAAAATTAATTAATTTACAAATGGATAATGAGACGAATATAAAAAGCGATAGATATGTGTTGTAACTACGTGTACACAAAAAAACAAAGCCTTGGACTATAGATTTACATGAATTAAAATATTGTAGCTTTCTCTAAATTTGTCTTTTTAGGTTTTGCAAAATTGCTTTTGGCAGAAAAAAAAAAAAAAAAAAAAAAAAGGGAGCAACGGCAATGAGAGAATATAATGTGGCCAAAGGGATTCCAAAGCTTCATTTTTCCTGGCTTTTGTTTTATGCTTTTTGCGTAAGGCATTTCTTTTGCTTGGTTACCTAAAGCTCTCTCTCTCTCTCTCAATCACAACAATATTGATTCCCTTCTTTTCTTACCTTTTTTATCCACCCATGACCCAACCAACTTGTTCAAGAAGGCTCAGCTCCTAAATTAAACCAGCAATTTTAGAACAAAATTGTTGTACAACCTTGAACATTTGTGGTTTAATTTTGTTAATTTTTTAGGCAAGAGTATAAAAATAGTATCAACAATCTTAGTGACATTCAAGTTGCAAGTGAGTCCCTATGATGTGGTCGAGGTAATTATAAATTAAATTTGGCCAATTCTTGAATAACTGAAACTTTTAAAAAACAAATGCAATTAGTGATAGTATTAGTTAGCCATAGTATCCTAATACATGAGGATTAGGGGTGTTCACGAATTCGCCGATTCTGCTTCCATCCCATATGTACCCACCAATAATGAATGAGATGTAGATCTACTTAGTGAAAATCCATCACTAACATATTAGATGTGGGTCAACGAACTTGTGGTCTAGTGGCACAAAGTTATTCTCTCATAAAGGAGGTTATGGGTTCAAGACTTAATGGATGTGGTATTGACTTTTTGTGCTTCAGTAGGTTGAGAAAGTAGTTATGAACAGATAATGCATTGTAACATAGTCAATTCTACTAAAAAAAAATGCATATTACATGTGAATTTGGCTTTCTAATTTCCAATTTGCATCTGCCAATATGCTACTAAGAAAACTATATATATATATATATATATATATATATATATATATATATATATATATATACATGGGAGAACATGCTTCGATGTAAAAATTAAAGACTAATTTGAGTCGACGTAAAAATTGAAGATTAATCTGAGTCGTCCATTTGGGTAGATTAACGATTGAGGATTGCTGAAAATAAGAAGAAAAGGGGTGAGGTCATTTTTATAAATATAATAAAATTAAAAAGTATACAATAATTATAAATTTGACCTCATATTTTATTTACTAAAATCTCAACCATTAATGAACCTTAATTGGCGGCTCAGATCACCCACAACCATTCACGTGTTCAGATTCAACGAATCAGATGTAATTTTAGAAAAACGATGCGGTGACATTTTCGTAAATAACTCGAACTTTGATGCAATTAAAAATGTGTTACAAGTGCATGTAATTTACCTTGATAACGTTAGGTGCACTTAATATTTCCGAACAAAATTTATGTCCGTAGGTGCCGACATACGCGAGTCAAGCTAAGGCGATTTTGGATTTGACCAAACTCCCTAAGGGGATATTGCATCCACTCTGCAAACTCCCTAAGGGGATTGCATATATGATTAGGCATCCATATGAGAGAATCTGAGCTGTTGATATATGTTTGACATTCCACATGAATGATACCCTTCTTTATGGCTTTATTCTTTCTTTATTCCAATCAAATTGTGCTTTCTCCACAGGCTAGCAACAGACCTCAACTAAGCCACCCAACTCCCCAGAAAAGACCAAGCAAAAAAACCTTTTATTTATTTCCAAAATGTTCCTTTTCTGTTTACTTATACACTGAATTTCAATCCTTTATATGAATGCAAAACAGCTAAAAAGGCATATGGTGCATGCAATGTCTAGTGTTTTAGGAATCGCTCTTTTGTTTTGCTCTTTGTTTATTCTGGAAACATATTTACCATAAAATTGTATATAGAAGTGCTTTTTTTTAAATTACGCTTATAAAGAATGAACAAAATTGGAACTTTTACTACACAAAAGCAATTGCCTTGTAAAAGGGAGAAATAAAATAAGAAATAAAATGCAAAGCAAAAGACACATGCCTTCTTTCAGTCTTTCTCCAACCCCAAAAAACTTGTGTGCAATAATAAGCTTTAATTTCTTAAATTCGTACACACATGCATGTTAATGCATCACTCACGGAGTATTACTCAGAGCAGGTTTACTTAATACATATCATTGAATAGTGGATGTGCGTTTCTCTCATCATTCAAAATAAAAAAATGTAATAACACATAAACCTTTAAATGTAACATAATTTTTTAACCTTTAGCTCTTTACGTTTATTATAGAAGAAAGTGTCAAATTGACTCTCTAAGTCTAATAAATATTGTAATTAGATTTCCAACTCTAATTGAAAAAAAAAAAAAAAAAAGTTCCAATGAAATCTCTAATAAACTATCAAAATAGTGCAATTATGTTCGAATATGATTTATTTTATCATGTTACATGTGATATTGACTACACTAATATGTAGTGTGCTAGTGCTTACATAAATCAAATTTTAATAACCCAACAGGGTAGTTCAAGTGGTAAACGAGCTCTCTTTGTGGTGGAGAATTTTGGGATAACCTGGGTTTGATTCCCACAAGTGATGATTCCCTTTGGACTAGTTCTGTGCCTCCTGAAGCAAATTGGGTGGACCACCCGCACCACGATGTGTGGTTGACACCAAAAAATAAATCAATTTTTATTTTATTTTTTAAATTTTAATTTTTTTAAATCACCAACCATCAACAATGGATTATATTGTTTTTTTTGTTGATGGCCTGGACAGTTATTGGTTGTCCCCTGCTGCGGACAATGGACAAATTAAACAGCCAGGGCTATCG